TACTTTAGTTGTTTGTTTTAACTACTCGGATTTATTAAAGAAGCCATTCGGTTGCTCTGTCAATATGCCTTCGTCATGTGGGCTGGTCTGTAGCCAGTAGCCTCAAGCCCTACTGCATGCTGAATTCATACATTCTGCAGGAGTATCATGCCTCCTTTCATCTTCGGGGCTGTCTCGGGTTGCTACAGTGGTGGCAGTAGAAAGCGAAAGCGATTTTAGAAAAATGTCTCTCCTGATATCTACTGCTGGGCGGTAAAGATGCTTATACTACGGATGGGGGAATCGGTGCTGGCCCATAACAGAAGGGCTGAAAATGACGTCTACATTCGGCAACCACTCCAGTTCGGTGGTCTGCAGTAGGGCCATTAACAAGTGAAGCGACACTGGCCCTGAACCAGCAGGAAAAGTTCGTTACAGAACTGTTAACCATATCTGTATGAAGATTTCAAAAAAAATAAACGCACCATACTCCCTCCACTTCTCTCCTAGCTGAATAGAGCCCAGATAGATACGGCTGGGCAGCTTCAACGTGTGAACAACATGTCTCTGCTTTTGGACCAGTACTCCTATTACTATATATGGGCACGCTTGATGCTCGGCACATTCTCTCACCCCCGAACCCAGATCCCATACAGGCCGAAATATCTAGATCCAGAAGAATTAGCCAAAGGAATAAGTGACGTCGCAGTCAGATAGCTTCTCAGTTGCACGTAAATTCGGTCACTGGTGTGGTTGGCCTTTTTTTACAACGTTGAATACCTTATGATGCCGAAGGGGAGGTTGACCAAGGGGAATGTCGAGGAGAACGCTATGCTATGCCATACGTTGGCTGCTTGTTTAACTCTTGATTTTAGTAAAGGGGGTCAATTAAGTGCTCCACGATTATTCTTTTGTCGAGTGAGCTGACCCTTAAGCCATTTCAGTAGGCTCAATCCGTTCAGCATGTCGAATATATATATTCTGGTGAATTATTATATCTTCTTTCACTCTTGCGTAAGTCTCCGGGCGCTACACATAAAGGCTGTGCACGAGTACTCGGTAGCAGCATTTATTTAGGTACAGCTTCAAACCATTTCAAAAATCACCACTAAAGGCGAAAAATGCCATTAAACATGCCATTCAGGCGTCATGGTGCATAAGATTTTTTTGACGCAGTGAGGATTTCAATTTTTAGGTTTTTTACAAGACACTTTAATAACTTTAAACGCCAAAACAAATACAAACATTGTCAAATATACAAAAATTTGCAAAAGTTTTCGCAACTCAAAAAAATCTACTTTTGCGAAACGAAATGCCGGTTTGTTTAAATCAACTAAGTATTGACCATTTAAAATCAATAGGGAAGACTTTTGGTTAGTTTAAAAAACTGCTAAGTTTCCTTCTGGAATTTCAACTTTCTATATTATTTTATGACTAAATTACCGAACCAAATTCTAACCAAATTTTTTTTTGTCAAAAATTTATATTTAAATGAGTTTGGCGCCATTACCTGATAGTATTTGAATCGTAGGAGGTAATTTAAAGCTGAATTAGAGTTTTTACTCGATGAGCTTAAAACGGTCTTCTACGGTGTTTGGTGCACACCGTAGCTGTTAAAATAAGCACAGATTTCGTGCGTGAGCCATTTCAGTCAGGACAGCTTCGCTCAAGATGGCAGACAATGGTAATGGGGGGTGCTTCCATGTATGCAGAAGTCTGTGCTGGTTCTACGAGGCCTCTTAAAAATGAACACATAGCTATCCATTAGTATCTGGATAGGGCCTAAAAGTCATTTCGGCACAGCAAGGTGCGATAATGGCGTGTTTGGCTGTACGCCTGTCACTGGTGGTTTGGTTTCAGGATGTTAGTTCAGCCACCACTCATTCATTCCTGGGAACGAATGCTTGACGCCTAATAAAATCCAAACTTGTCGTGGAACAAATATGCTCGAGGAACTAACTTCCCCCCTAACTTTTGGTGGGTCAGATAGCTCAGGCTTTTGATCAGGGCCGAGTCGATGAGAGATGCTTTGAGAGGAGGCTGCGTCATGATGGGAAAGTTTATGGCGATTTCACTTTACAATGACAATGAGCGAATCCAGTTTCTCACCACTGATGACAAAATGAAACAATCCCTTTTGGAATGGTTCAGACACATTAGCAAATTTCGCTCCACTTAGGCTCCTTGTCACGTGTTGACTAACTGACAAGAAAATGGTGTCTAAAATATGTCATG